AACGAAAAGTGATCGACATGATTTATATATCTATAATAAGGGATAAAAGATTTCTTGAGCTATGTTCAGATTTCCACTCAAATCCCATTCAAGTATCACTCCATCCTGACTGCGTTCAGCAGACTCATCATTGAGTGAGTGCTCATTGCTATTGATGTATCCTTCCGAATCTAAAATTCTGATTGAATGATTTAAAAGAGTACACTAATAACAACGAACGCTCATTCAATGTTAAATTCGCTGAATGCGGATGATTATTCATTTGCTTGGCAAACAGGCTAGTCGCTTTGTCGACTTATGCCCAATTTCTTCACCTCTAGATAACTTTATTCAAGAGATATCTCATAGAATACAATGGAGATATCTCCTGGATAAGGTTATCCGCAACTTATCTAGAAGTGAAGAAATTGGGCATTAAAGGGTCATTAATTTTAAACCCAGCGAGATTGTTCGTTGTTATATAACCCTAGTTTTGTATATTATTTAAGGAAAAGCTACACAAGAGATTGTCATGACCATGGAAATTGCTCCACGGCAATTACATATAAAATGTTCACTTCAAAAAGTATCGAAACGAGACTACAAATGAAAAAAGTGTAGTTTTATTCTTAAATATTTTTTTTTTACCTGAACAAGTCATTGATCGTCGTGAGTTCATTCATACGACTTCGCGTATGCTGCGAACGTAACATATGTCCAGTACGGACAGTGGTCAAGTGGTTATTTGAAGAGGTAAAGCTCACGTGGAAAAGGAATGCGTTTCGTTTCACGCACTGTCATTTTATCTTTGTTCACCGAATATATATTAACGAAAAATAAAAGGATACATATATTATATGCGTATTATAAACGCGAAACATGATACATCTAAGAATTTCGTAATTGTGCATTTTTCTCTTGTTGCACACTCAATCTAAGGCCCATTTTCACAATATATGCGGTTACCTCCTATGTAGCACAGATCTCCAAAAAGGACGTTCCCAGAAAGATCTCTTGAAGAAAGTGCGCTGTATGGGAACTAAAGGTTTTGTGCGTGTGCGTGTGCGTGTGTGTGTGTGTGTGTGTGTGTGTGTGTGTGTGTGTGTGTGTGTGTGTGTGTGTCTGTCAAGGCACCTCTTAATGAAATTCATTCATGAATTTCTTGGTAACCTTTGATCTTTAGGCGATCATATATTGTGAAATCTGACCACCGTGTCCTTTTTACTTGAGCTTCTTGTCCCCACTTCTCAACGCTCGGTCTACATGTACTATGGTGAATTTGTATATAAATTGATTTCCCAAAGAAAAAGCAGAGGCATTTTTTCGGAGTTTTCTCTAATTTTTAATAGCTAGAATAAAGCCTATATCCAAGATTTTCTTTTTTATTATTTTTAACTTTCTTATGTGTCATGCAAATTATAGGCTGATTCCTGGTATCAGCGGTCTGCTGTCTCACTAGATCTTGAAAAAAGGGATCGATGTTATAACTACTTAACGATTTTAAATTTAAAAAATTTATTTATGTCTCTCTCATAAATATTTACATGGAATTTTCTGGATGTTCCAAGGTATTTTGAAATAAGTACCGATATAAAGAAACAAATAATTTATTACGATCTAGAATATACATCCTCCTCCTCAATCCTATTGTTCGTGGCGCTGACGAGATACTATTAAAGACTGACATTCTTACGGGAGTTCGAGTCCTTGTGAATCCCTAACAGCACAAAAACCTCCATAGGACGTCCTGAGGACGTCCAAAGGACATACGGACATCCTTTGGACGTCCTTAGGACGTCCCATGGAGGTTTGTGCTGTTAGGGTATTGAAGTGATTAAGAGTTAAAAACTGATAATATTGTACTAATTTTATGATTTATTAGTTTAGTAGACGTATTTATGCATTTATAACTCAATAATATTCGATTTTTCTTTAAAACTGACTTGATTTCAGTGTTATCGTCAAAGTTTGATTATCAAAAGAAATGATATAACTGCAGAGAAAAAAATTGTAATTTTTCGGCAATATATAGGATATTATAATATACCTTAAAGATGCAATGTGCAGTCAAATTTAATAAAATTGTAGTGTCAGAAAAAATAGTTGAGTCAGTGATTAAAACTGTAATATATCTAAATTGAAGCAACCTTGCGATGAGGACCAAGTAATGAAAAGTGACAAACACTAGGAAACTAATTAAGAAAACTGTGTAGAAAAAGTAAAATAGGAAGGGGAAAAATAGGAAGGGGAAAGGGATTGTATGATTGGAAGATAGGACTCCGGTAAAGCTTCCGTAATCATTATGCCTGTTTAAGCCCTGTTTTTCTTTGTCTCTTAATGTGAACCATTTCAGAGATTAAACGTTTATTACTGGTTCACTATCTAAGTATTTTAACATTGTTCCAAAGTTATGGTTACATATATTATATATAATTCTATGGTCCATGATAACCGAAGGAGACAACATTAAGGCCCAGTTTTACAACTCACGGTTAACTCTTAACCGCGAGGTTCAATTTATCTCTCATCTTTTTCCAATTCTAGAATTGAAAAGAGATAATGAATAAGTTGAACCTCGATTAAGAGTTAACCGTCAGTTGTGAAACCGGGCCTAGATAAAATTCTAATCTGGTCACTCTCTCGTTTAGCTCAGAGAAGTTATTCTATTGTGTATGGTTTAGATATACTGTAGGTGGCTCGAAGTGAAGCCGAAACGTCTGACTTATCGTAATATGAAATAAATTTTTTTTTATCGCACGAATTACCGCGATTAAAAACTCTCGTTAGCCCTTTATTTGTTTTTTATTTGACATTCTCGAGAGTTATTGTTATCAATTTTGTACTAAATAAAATTGTTGTCTGCTCTCTTGTCAGTGGTCATGGCGCGGGATGATACAATATAGTAGTGGAGGAAAGAACATCAGCAATCTATGCTTGTGGCTAAGCATACGAAAATCGATAATTTTTCGATTCTACCTGGGATCGAATCCGAAATCTCTGGCATAACAGTCTAGCTCGTACGTTGTCTGCTACGTCACGCTCTCGCTCATGTAGAATATATATAACGAATTAAATTATATTCAACACGAAATTAACATAAAATAAAAATGTAGAATAAAATCACACACAGTTTTATAGTCGATTTTCGTACGTATTACATGCACGCAAATTACATTGACGTTAAAGCAACTCATGGGGAACGAAATGTTTTATTTCGGATTATTACAGGAAATTGTGCAATTCTTTACGTCATTCTTCTGCGTAATAAGCGTTTCTGTATCTGTTTGTAAAATTCTAAAGTTAAAACGCAAAAGTTAATGTAATGTATCATTGCATCACATCGCATTGACAAATGATGACATCATACACTAGTAGGAATGAATTATCCCATTTACACTCGCACTAATTATCTCATTTAGATACGTACTAAGACGCAGATATGTACTAAGGCGTAGTTAAGCATTTTGCAATATCTATCTTATAAATTTTCCATCAGTTCTCTAGAGAAAACCTCATCATCTCTCATCGATTTTAATGGATTTTCGATATATTATAGAGTAGCGATGCGCAAGCTTTTTTAAAGAATCATTTTCAGAAGGCTATTTTCGGAAGTAGATATAAAATCTTGCGAGCCGCATAATATTTATTACGTTTGTACGAAATAAATTGATTTTATATTTTCAACTATATGGACCGGCGCGGGCGGGTCATAGAATATCTACAGGTGGGCCGCATGCGGCCTGCAGGTTGTGCATCACTGTACAGGACAAAAAATATTAGACCACATCTTTTTACTTGCTTATTTTAAGATTTAAGGATCGAAATAACAACCTTTGGGAATGAGAGTAAATTAAAATATTTAACATTTTTTAAAAAATGTAAATCGTTATTAAGAAAATTAAGTAACTCAAAACTTTGTATAAAATATTTTTTTACTCCTCATAATTTCGAAAATATTCATTGAAAATGTTTTGATAACCTGTAAATGTTGAGATAAGCAGGTAAAAAAATTTTTTTTAGCTTTACATGTACAAAACCCGTTTAAATCGATGAATGACAGTTCGATCCTTTGTCCGAAAAAAATCCCTTGGAATGTACTGAAAGCTCTCCGATATATTTATCAAATAAATGTTTGTACGATTTAATAATTGACAATTGAAACAGTTCAATGCACTTGTATTCATTGTAAAACGTACAATGATAACTACTCACACACACACACATTAATTTTATTTATACACGATGACAGGCACGTGATGTCATTTTTTTTAACGTGCGATGCTTACATATATATCTATAATATAATTTGTACAAACGTTTGTGTATATCGCGAATTAACTGAAGTACTTAGTAATGTTATAGATTAAAATACTTATCTTCATATTCTTATTGTAAACTTATATCCGCTTTTTATTTGTATTTCTTGGAACTCTTATCTTTATCTTGGTCTTTAACTTATATTTATTTTAATCTATCTTGAGAAGAAAAATAAATAAGTTGCGTTTTAAATAAATAATACACACAATATTATGAATCAGCTATGCAATCATAAATAAAAAAATAATACTTAATCCTAATCTAATAATCAATAATAATCAATAACTAATTTACCGATACTTAATCCGTCAACATACTCGTACAGCAAGCAAAAAATGATATTGAATGAAAAGTTGAAGTAATATAAAAACGTTTGGTTCTTTTCTTATAGAATTTATATTTTGATTATAACCTGTATCATCGTTTTTTTTTTAATAATGCAGTGCAATTATCAATTTGTAATATATGATACATTACGAGATATTACGTATTTGCATTAAATAAATGTAAGAATCATTCACACTGTAATATTGACGTTACTTACCATAATACTGATGTTATACTAATATTAAGTTAATAAAATTTATCATGATAAAATTAACACTTAAATAAACATATATAAACATTTATTACATGAAAATATTACCTATCTGAAATACATACATAATTTTGAATTTTATAATTTTATGTTACAATATGTGTGTAATACTGATATCCGCTAATGAGTCGTCTCGTTAAGCATTGTTTATTCAACTAGATTGAAGTAAATTGTTCTTAAGCATATCAGATGATTAACATGTCTAAATGTATCTTTATTATGAAAAAAATGGATATATAATTCTGTTATAACTAAATGACTTTCATACGTATTGTCTATAACATGAGCACAATATTTTACATGTAAATATGTTTCATGCTTCTTTATTGTAATGCAGCCTTATCGTTAGACGCTTGCCAGACGTGAAAGAGGACAGTTCATATCTAAAGATTGAATAAAATTAACAGTAGTCGCAGTATTTGTAGGAGTCTCACCCTCGTGATCTGTCCGTTTCGTGCATAATTCATTCTTCTCCTTTAAGTTCTTTGCTAATATCTTCTTGATAAATTCGCATTCGGGGAACCACTTAATATGCTCTTCCACAGGATCATCCGTCCGTTCCCAAGCTCTCAAAGATTTTCCACAGTAGAAACACATCGTTTGATTAAAAGATTCAAAAAGGCCGCTAAGATAAAAGAAACCAGCTTTAGCCAATTTTTCTTTTTTCTCACATATCGTATCGTTAGTACATGTTGCGAAAGAGCGTAATCTACGCTCATAGGAAGCGTATGTAGGCTGTTTCGAACCTAATACGTCGCTGAGCTTGGCCGTGAGGTAACTGTTCGTTTCGGCGTCCCAGAAAACCGCAATGTCAATATCTTCATTCAGATCAGAAGATACGGAGTTAGAATTCGTGGCACTTTCAACCTGCAGATCATTGTCCGGAGCAGAAAAGTGCATGTACTTGAGGCCATAAAGCCCGCAAACATCTACTCGTTTAGGTATTTTGGCAGGATCGGCGCCGATTGGTACATTTCCACAAGGAATATTCCGGATAAATCTACATCTTCCAGACCAACGTTGGTGCTCGATCTTGGGATCATCGCCATCCATCCAGCTTGACAAAGTAATTTGACACTCGAAACACTTTACTGCATCTTTGTTTTTAGTGTAAAAGAAACCGGCGGCCGCGAGCTTTTTGGGATCCATAAATGACACAGACCACGTGGCGAAAGAATTCAATCTTACGATTTCAAAGCGATAATCCGAGTAATCTATATCATCATTTTTAAGTTTTTTAAATTCCTTTATGTCAAAAACTGACTTAAATACATGGTCGTTGATAATTGTATCTGGTATCTTCATTTTTTTTTTAATGAAAAACGTCCGTTCGTGTAAGAATCTGCGAAAAGAGACAAACATGACTTATGACAAATTCCTACATTCTTTCTATTTCCTGCTTTCGATAAAAGTATGCGAGAATATTTATTTTAAGCGTGCGCATGCAAAATTGCAGATAAATTGTAGATCCTTTGTGATTCTTCAAATTCTTTCTTCAAATTCTACGATAATCCCTAATAGGGATTACGAGGGACGTTCTGGCGAACGTTCTTAGGAATCAGATTGAAAGATTGAAGTTTGACCAATCAGAACAAAAGGAGCCAAAATTTCTTTGTCCTCATTGATGAAATTTCAGTCTTTAATCTTTAATCTCAATCTTCAATGCGTAGACTGATTCCGGCCTTAGAACATGGGGATCCTCTGAACGTCCCTTGAGATCTGTGCTATTAGGGATATTCTTCCTTTTTTTTAAAAAAGAAGAGAAAAGTTAACGTGCCTATTTTCGTCTACCTATTGTATTTCACAGATATTATACTTCACAGGTATAAAATAAAGATTCCCATCTCTTACCGAACACTCGATATCACGCTCTCGTTTTCCTTTTTATACATAATCTACAAAAAAGCGCATTCCACAACTCCAACACACATGCACGTACACAACACTCAAGGTTGAATTTTTTTCTATTCGAAATATAGCAGCAGAGATAATATAAAAATGTGCTGATCAAATTTATTCAAAATATATATATATATATATATATATTCTGAATTTTAATAAATTTAATATCTCAATTAAGGTTATTAAACTAAAATAAATTCAATTTGCTTATTACGTAAAATAACTTCTTCGACCGATTTTATAATACTTTTCAAATAGCACGAGCAGCGAAATAAATAATATAAACTTACACATGCGCAAAGCTATCGTTCTTTAGCATTTATATATATATATTTCACTCAATAGTTTTCATACGAAAGCCGTTGGAACGTCGTCGCGTTGGAACGTATATATTACAGCGAGGTATTCTCACTCGTCGGCGTCTATCTTGTTACTGCCACGTCAAATAATTATTACACGATAAGATAGGTATTTACGCTCCTTGTTTTCTGAACGTAGAAATTCTTAATAATCACAGAAATACAAGGAAGGATTATCAGTGCATTCTTTAGTCGATATACAATACAAGCAAAACTATATTTGTAACATTCTATTAATAGCGCTGATTTCTACGACGAATTATGTAATGTTACGTAAAATCTTTAGACATGGATTCATTTACGTGCGTCGTTTTTAACGTAATATCAGTCACCTGCGTATATTTATATTTCATTGAGAAAGCTTTATACATTTAAGAGAATTTAATAATGCATAATAATTGAGAGAATAATTAATCCAAATCTGAGGAATTTAAATAAATATTAATTCTTTGCAATTAATTCCTTACAAATAATGGTATTAAAGGTGCAATTGAAATGAAATTTTTACTAATGAAAGCGTTTACTGTAAAAGAAATTATTCTATTTTTTAGTAATGAAAAAATCAATTCCTAGCAAGAATCTTATTCATGGTAGCGCTTTTAATAATTTCTAAAGTTAAAGGTTAATCTGGGAATGTAAATTTTCTGTAAAATTCAGAGATTATCGTTATGTTGTAAAGACATTTCCTCGATAGATTATCGAAAAATGAGAAACGTAGTTGAGCTAACATCATTTATCCTCTTGGATGATTTTTTGATTACATTGTTGTCGCTAGAGTGCCGTTGTGTTCGACAAACTAATCGGCCTGATACAATACCTAAATGACCTTTGTCGACGCTTATCGAAAAACAATAAAGATTATATACAGTATCGCGATAAGATTTTATTATTATTATTGCAATTTCCTCTATATCTTCGTGATAATATTGTTCAATAAATAATTCTTTTACGTCAAAGAAATAAAATATTTGGGATATACTCTGCAGAAAAATGGGGGAGCAGAAAAGCACATTAAAGAAAGTATGAAGAAAATAATAGTAGCAATGAAAAGGACATGGAGCATTGAAGAGAGATTATTTAAAGATGATTTCAGGAGAAAAAAAAATGAAGATGTTTGATTCACTGGTGGAGAAAGTATTGCGCTATACGGAGCAGAGGTGTGGGGCTGGCTAGAGGATAGGAGACTGGACGGAATAAAAAGCAAATACATGAAGTGGATTTTAGGATTGGATTGGAGGACACCGGACTACATACTAGCGGAAGAAACGAAAATAAGAGAAATAAAAACGGAAGCGATTAGAAGAGCAATCAAATACAAAGAAAAAATAAGAAATACAAAGAAGAAGCTGATACAGGAATGCATAAAGGATTTAGAAAAGGAACGGACATTAAAGGAAGAGGACAACTGAGAGAAGAAAAGGAGGGAAATGTTAAAGAGAGCAGGGATGAGCAAGGAACAGGTAAGGTTAGGAAAAAAGGACGGAGATAAGGAGTATACCTGAGGACCTAGTGAAGAAGATAGAGAATAAAGAGAAGAAAGAAAGGAGAGTGAAGGTAAGTGAGTCTAGACACAATTGCAACTATAAAAGCATAATGACAGAGAAATTACCAAAATATCTGGAAGGAAAAAGGAAGCGGAAAGACAAAAGTCTGATAGACAGATATAGATGTGAAAGTGAGACAAAGGGGAGCCAGTATTGGAGAGAGGTCGAAGACAGGAGTTCCAGAATATACTTGGTAGAGGAAGAAAGCATATTCCACATATTAAAAGAATGTGAAGAGACAAAAAATGAATTGCGGACGGAAAAGTTTATAGGCGAAGAAGGCAGAGGTCTGGAAACAATGAAGAAGATAGGCAAGACGAGGAAGTAACTGGACGTTTAAGACGATAACTACATGTCACAGTTAACGATAAGGAGAGTTCAGTCAACGCGGTTAATACAATAGAAATATTTTTGACACAGAGCTAATCAGTCGGTGCAGGAGTATCAACCCATTAGGCTTGGCAGGTATATATAAACTATGTTAATTTGCGATAATGGGCTAGACCAGAATGTAAGACAGGCTAGTGAATTCACAAAATAGATAGTTAGTTTGTTTTATATTTGTTTGAAGTTTTATTAAAATTTATTTAATATAATGGAATGGATTAGATATATAATGTATAATAAAATAATAATATATAATGTATGTGTTATGTTTGTATGGATTGTAAGAAATGTAAACTGGAAGCCATCCTGAGCCGCGAGACAAGGATTAAAATAAATAAATAATAAATAATAAAAATAAAAAATATATGTTTCATTGCAATTAAAATTAAATATTTGTTAATATTTAATTTTAATTGCAATGAAACATATATTTTTTATTTTTATTATTTATTTCCTTAAAACAAATTTATTGTCGATTATAGTTAAAAAGATACCTATGATGATGTTAATATTAGGTCTATATTGCGTAATATTCCGTCAAAGTTACCTATGTACTCAGAAAATATGCTGACGTTATTTTTCGTCATTTTGATGTCAGAATGACAATTGACACCAGCTTGTTGGATAAGTCATTAAGAATTCGTTAAATGTTTTTTGAATGTATTATTCAAACTTAAGGAGCTTTCAAGTCGCTGAGACTAATCTGATAATTACGAACATAATTACAAACTTGACAACATACTTAATTTTAACACAATTACTTGACATATGTAATTTATTAACGCGATTTAAAAAATGAAGATGCTTAATCCTCCGTCTGCAATTTGGATTAAATCTAAAAATATGATTGTAGCCGTAGAATTAATTTTGTGACTATTATAATAAAATTTCTTCAAATGCATAGTCATGTATATATACTTATACTTTACAATATAAAAGATAGATATTAAGATAGATTTATTTTGTAATTTTAACTACACACAAATTTCTCAAAATTACAACAAGATCGATAAAGCAATTTGGTAAGCATGATCGTATTCAGCGCCCAGAAAGCTATGAATTACATACTTTCGTTCCTGTACAATTTTTTTTTCCTTAAACAGGCTAATTAATTAAGACTACATTCGAGTAAAGTACCCTATAGTTTGATAGATTTAGTACAATGAATCAATATAAATAAAAGAAGAGCTACGAGCCAAACTTTGAATTAAAAAATTTTACTGCAACCTATAATTCTGTACAGAACTCGATATTTTTCGAAAGCGATTTACAATCTTCCGCTGAGTCAAGACTTCCCTTCTGAAGCCTTTCGGATCGATACTTCCGGAACCCAGCTGTGACTTTGAAATGATGACACCCTTCAATCTCTGTCCGAAGCCTTACATCTGCCGACCACTTTTCTTTGTTGACTCACAGTATAAAGAATCAATACGAATTACAAGGTAAAACGATCAAAGAATGATCCAGTTTTAATGATCTTATAAGATGAAAATCCAGCCGAAAAAGAGAGAGATGAATAAGGACAAGAGAAAGACTAAGCGAAGTAAAGAGAAAGGGATGAATGTAGACCGCATGGAGCGAACGGCGTGGAGCAAAGGGAATGTTTCGCGTGCCAAGCTGTACCTTTGTACGAAAGAGAAAGAGCGACGACAAATAGGCGCCGCCGGCCACGCCACCCGTGACGCAACCGGAAGAGAAAGAAATAAAGAGAAAAGAGAGAGAGAGAAAAATTTCCCGGTACCCGGATACAAAGGCAGAATGAATGACAATGAGAGAGAGAGAGAGAGAGAGAGAGAGAGAGAGAGAGAGAAGCCGGCGATTGGGAGTCATTGAGAGAAATCGATCTTTCTTGGAAATTGATGAAGTTGATCGACGTTGACACGTGAATGATAAAAAAGAAACGGATGATTGGAAGCAGGAAGGAAGGAAAGAAGCATTCTTATCTATCCTACTATGAGTACTTTTCTGCCATGCCACACCGTTTCCCCATTCAAATGATTCAAGTGAATCAAGGCATGATTAACGTACCGCTGATAACAGCTGATAAGGCGTGTGTTGCTATTCGTCTACTTGACACTCCCGTCGCTGCGATGATCCTTCAATGAAAACAGAAGCCGGTTCTCGCGACGATTCTTCTTTGCGATGTTTTTCCGAAGGTGCCGGTGTGTCACTGGTGTTTCAGAGGTATCGCCGGGCTATCCGTTGTCCACCAAAATCCAGTATTGTTCACGGTCTTCACTCAGCTGTTCGGAATAATGAAACCCGCGGCTCAACTTGATTTCATCGTGACGTACCGGAGAGCTAAGGCTCACTCGAGTGTGACTGGCGTACGGAAAATATTCCAGGATAAGAGACCAGGCTACTGATTTTCGCATTCGGGCGAAGCGGAATTTTATGGAAGGAGAAAAACGACGGTGGAGTTTCTAAAGTTTCTGCCAATTCCAGCAAAAGGGCTGTCCTTAATGAATCGTCTGGACGAAAGTTGCACTGCACCGAAACGCACCGTACTTGCTGCAGGCTGGGATTCTCTACCGAGTGTGACTGAGATAAAGCAAGAGGAGGGTAGTAGTGGGGAGGGTGAATGGCACGAAGGGCAGCTCTGACCAGCTCTGACAGATGATCACAGTATTGCACAGCATTGGTCGATCTGCTCTTTTTGTAGGGGCTGTTGGAAGCAACTGGCAGCAGCTGGGAGGAGTTAAGAAATTAGGGACGGACTTATCATTAACCCTTACCCTACCAACTACAATTTGGTGCCTCCATACAAACACTAGGATCCGTGTGTTTTTTTTCACCTATTCAGAATGATTTAAAAAATCTCTAAAAATTCACCAACATACTTTCAACTTTCTAGAATAAATATTGGCACTTTATTTTGGAAAATAATAAAATGTAATATGATTTATAATTACCGAAAGACTCAAAGAAATTTGCATGAACAGGAATCGCTGGGTCACTAGTGACCTATGTTAGCAAGGTAAGGGTTAATTTTTAATTTCTATAATTTTTGGCTAATCCAAAAATTATTTCATGTCGAGTACGTGTTAATTATAATAAAATTTTTTTTTGGAGAAAAGAAATATGATTTTGTTCTCTCGAAAGAAAATTAACGTTCGGATCTTATGTAACATTAAGAAAAGTTATTTAATAGCAATGACAGGAATCGCGTAATATTGAGGAAAATATAAGCATATTTTTTTTTTAGAAAAACATTTTGACAAATTAAAATAATATATAAAATATACAAAATAACATATAATAACAATCTAATAATAAATTAAAAAACCAGAAAAAGACAAATCTATTACAAATTAATCTGATTTTGCTTTTGCGGAATAACTCTGAAATTAACTCTTATTTAATACTAAGAATCGCTTGATAATAAAGAAATGTAAATGGAAACTTCCTACTGTAATCGGTGTGGTTATCTGAATACGTGTTTGTCGCGATATAATCAAGTCCAAGAATGCGACTTGATAAAATTCTATGGTCAACGACAATTGCATTACTTAGAAAAAAAAACTCAAGAGAGATATGTGTGAAATTCTTTTATATTTTATGTACATTCAAAGTATATGACACATGACATTCGCGACAAATTTCTATTTTACAATGCTATATACGATATATATTAAATCTGATATAACATAAAATCTTTCTTTGATATTTTACATAACTGTTCGCTTATACACAGCTAATTACTACACATTTTCGCTTCATAGACACATTACGGATATCACATTTATATTAATCTCTATGTCATACTTTCAATAAAACGAAACTGTACAAATATGAAGATATTTTTCTTTATTTCTTTGGAATGATCCTGGCCGAGTTTGCTTTCTTAGGCCAATATTACATTCGTTCGTTTTTAATTGTACATTAAATATTTTATAATGTATACATTTTTCCAAACGTGTTAATTGACTGCAGAACAGAGAAGTTCTCAGTCTATTCGATAGCCAATCAACAGGCTTGAAAAATTTGTTGTACAAAAATGGATAAATGTAATATTGGCCTTAAGCTTACGTGCTAACACTAGAAACTAGTATGGACAGCTATATACATACATATATATGTATTATTTCTGTTCATTCGTTTATCTCTAAAATCATCGAATTGACAATCGTCTGTCGATTTGATTATTTTATATTTTTTGTACTCAATCCTCGGTAAACGCAACAACACTGATTTCTACATATATCGCTTTCACTATTTTATCTGCTATATATATTATCTGTGAGAAACAACGTTCACATACACATATATTTTATCATGATACGACGTCGTGGAGACGTATCAGCACTAAGAGAGATTGTGTCTGTATTTTGTACATGTCCTAATAAATGTATTCTCTAAACAACCACTTGAATTCCAATAGCCTTATCAGAAAGCTTTTACGCTAACTTATTTCATCAATAAATAAATATCTTCAAGTGAAGATTTTTTATTGACTGGATTATTTCTTTATGATCGAGTTTATGATTGTATACTACAAATATATTAATACACGAATAATATAGAGTTATATGTCCAAGCCAATGATCTCAATGTGATATTAGAGATTAATTAATTTCGTAAAATATTAATTACTTCCAACCTCTGTAGGGCGTGACAGATACAAATCAGTTTTTTCATCAAGAAGAAGGATAATTGAAGCCCAATTGGAAAGAGTAGAAATCAGACCTGAAGATCTAGTCATCAGCTTTTAAATAAATGATTATGCTTGAACATTTGAAAATTTTTATATATGTTTTCCTGAATTATTACATGTTGTGTTTTTACTTGTGTTTTATATAAGTTTTTAGTTGTAATGTATATGATGAGATTGATTGACCATTAGTGTTGTTTTGTGACTAATGATTGATGATATTGTTAATTTCAATTGTGGGTTTTGGTTGATATGGGGATGAAAATAATTGAAAATTACAAAAATAAAAATTAATGTTATTGTAGGTAGGTTAGCAATGTGACAAGATGCATATGCACACTTAACACCTGATGAATTCATTATAAGATCACAATGAAAGAAAAAAAGAAGTAGATTAATATTTTACGAAATTAACGATATAATGATTTATCGTTATATCTGTAAATCTGTAAAAATTGTACTGATAATGTACAAATAATAATTATTATAATTCGATAATAATATAGATTGTAGCTTAAATCTGTAATCAGTTGCAATTGTTATTTTTTTAAGTTTTTTTTACACTTTCCCACTTTTACAAAATTAGCTGACAAGTAACACTATCCAAGTGCCACTCCGGGATTGACTTCTACCTATGCAGATTTTGTAAAGAATCGAAAAATATTTGATACGTATTTTTTTATTTCGGCAGACATGACGTTTTAAGGGCTGAAAATAGGGGTTGAAATATTAAATTTTTTAATAAACGGGTGTATTTCCGAATAATGCTGTTATGCGATCTAGCTGTAATGCTAATATAATTTTTAAATTAATATTAATTTAATATTAATTTAATATAATTTTTCAGAAAAAATTCGTGAAAATAGCTTAAAAATCAAGCTTCTAAACCCGAATCTCCCCTGAACTAACAAATTTATAATTTCACTAATTCACTTCCTTCGATTTCATAAAAAACCATTGGCAAATCTCAAATAGCAAACTGCGAATCTTGAACCACGAATCGCGTATAATCTGGCGCAAGATTTATATGTATACTCTACTTTAGGACAAGAAAATACGGACATATCCATGAATCCTGAATCTGCATAATGGACATCTCGCAAAAACCGGTGCGCAATTGCTACACGTTGCTAAATGTCCACAAGGTAAAAATACTATGGCTAGTTCGTGATCCATACAAACTTTGCATAAACGAGCCTCCTTCAATTTTCTGTTTTCCTCTTGCAAAACCACTGCAAAAAAGCGATACGAGCTGTACATGTGTGCACATTTCTTTCAAAGAGATCAAATTACGTATGCATAGGATGTAGAACACATGATATAACTTTACAAGGGAGAAATTTTTCACACAAAAGAACATTGCATCAAGAAGTTGTATCAGTTAAGATTTTTTAATTAATTTTATCAACACTTATTCCTGGAAGTATTAATAAAATGTGAACTAAATTAATAAAATTAATAAAAAATCATAAACCACAATAGTATGATAACGATAAAAACAATAGTAGATGAGTGGCATGTAACTGATTTCACAAATAATATAGAGATAATATCAAATAATAATATATGATATTTATTTGTTACTTACTAAAATCATCTGATTCATTATCCGTGTTTTTCTTCTCGAGATCTCTTTTAAATGCGTCAGATTCTTGTGTGCCATTTTTATTTGCGGTATTATTAGTCATTTGTATAGTAACTTGATTAAACAAATCATTCAATTCTGGAGTAGGTGAGTTAGAAGTGCTGCTATCAAGGCTAAAGGAAAAAAAAACATAATTCTCAATGATACCTCAACAATTCGATTATTTCTAATTACATGTAACATACGCATACTGTATTTTACATGCCTATTATTCTCTTGTAGAAGATCTTGTAGCAGTTGTGCAGCATCAGTATACGGTATGCCAATTCTTTCCATTCTACTCTTCTGAGCTCTCTCTACTTTAAGTACATCCATCCCAATTTTAAAAATAGTCTCTCTTTTTCTCTATTGAGAGAAAAAAAGAAAGTCATATTAAATTAATTAATCTTAATTAAGAATAATTAGGAACATTTGAGTTACGTTTTCAAATCGCTGACAAAGAATTTCATCATTAATGTTTTTACATGTTTTTACTGTTTTCTTTATATATAAAGTTTGAATTGATAAAAATATTGCAAAGTTTTCTCTAATTTCAAAGTAATACACACATATGTACAATTTTATCATTTTACTTGCCATATCTGGAGCTGTTTTTAAAAGTTTTTCAATCTCTGTGTAATAATCCCTTAACGATATATTGGGTTTTAAAACTGTCGAAAGAGATAATATAATCAAAGTGACATCGCTAGGTTGCGGAACAGATACACTTAAACTTTCTACGAACTTTATCGCAGATGCTAGTGCCATATCATCTAGTTCGCTATTTTGTGAAGTTGAAACAGATTCAACTGAAGACTCTGTGGCATTATCTTCTGGTATGCCAGTGATAGTCTGTATATACATAACAAAATTTAAAAAATATCACATGTTACGTATAAAATGTATAAAATGTATCTTATGTATATTACATAATATAGACATTATTTTTACAACATAAAATTTGTATTATCTAATTAAATTAATTCATAAAATCATAAAAAAGTGGAATATAACAATTACCGAAAGATCGAAATTTCTATTATCAACGCAATATTTGACAAAGTCTTGTCCACGCACAAGATTTACAAAGAAACAATTTGAAAACCATCGTGCATGTTCAATCCATACATCATCCGTTGGTTGCCAATTTCGTAATCCTCCATCGCAATGAAAACATCTAACTTGATCTTCGTATCCTATATTAAAAATATAAGATTAGAACAAACATTTCACAGGGGGAGGGGGGGAAGATCTAATAATTTAAAAGATAAATATAATTCTGACCGCTATAATAGAATCCAGCCTCAGCTAACATTTCTGGAGTTTGCTTAAGATTTTTTGGCCATTCCTTAAACGTCTGCAATCTTTTTTCATACATTGCGAATCCTGGTCTTTGGGGTGTTTTGTGTACTAGTAT